TCGAGGCAGTGCGCCGGCCAGCCCTCATTTTCTAAACACACGCTAGCATGTGCCTTGCGCAGCTGAAGTCCTAGAAGCCTTACCGGTGAAGAAAAGAAACAAAGGAGTGGTGGCCACACAAGAGAAGAAAGGAAATGCTGTGGGATGAAGCTATCGAGCCGGTCTGGTCCAAGATGCTCTGTGGATCTGGGGTGAAGCAGCTTGTTCATCGAGGCACAAGTGCAGCGGTAGAGCGATTTGCAATTGGACAAGGTCCTCTTCTTTGAGGCATCGCGGCTGGACAGGGGCACAGGGGTTGAGTAGCACAGAAGAGAGGTTCAAGGATCTGTGCAGCCGTCGAGTCTGCACGCCAGTAGTAAAGAAGGACAAAGAATCTGCGAGGGACCGGCTTCTGTCACGCAACGCCCAAAAAGGTGCAAAGCGCACAAATGATCACCCAAATGATGCCAAGATTGCAGTTGGTGCTCACTCAGGTGAAGTTGAGTAACGGGCTGCTGTACTACTGTTTGTCGCACATCGCTGCTGGACGGGTCGATCCGTTTCGATTTCCGATACTCCCGAGATGTCCCCTCTTCCCTTCTCGCCGCGCTTGCATGCTAGGGACTGCCGCACGGACGCAAGGAAGAGCTCGCGACTGCCAGGGGTGCTTCTGATTGCCTGAGACAATACAGATGCCTGCCTCAGGGCTCTTCGTGAGGCCATTCTCTCTCTCGCCCCCTTCCAGGCGGATAATTATGAGTGACACAAGACTGCACCACGGAAAAGTAACGGGATGTTTCTCACCGAGAACGGGGAAGGAATGAGATAGCTCAGCCTCGTCACAAGCACTGAGGGAACTGAGGGAACTGACTCGAAAGCGTGCATTCTCGGCTGAGATTGAAAGCGGGACGCACTGTGCACTGTCTCCATCGCCAGCTCGCCGCAGAATGTCATCTTACGCATTGCATCCTTTAGCGGCGCTCGTGCTTGCATCAAGCCCAGAGAAATGAGCCCGACATACAGTATTATCAGGTAGTAGTCTTCGGCCCCGAGCGACTTGTGAAGTGCCATGTGAAGATGCGGATCGTGCTTAGTTCCCTGCCACCAGGCTCGTGAAGGGGTCACTATTGCTCGTTCTCAACCCAGTACCAGCCCGGCGGCTTTAAGTCAGACACAGGTCGTCGCTACGTGTAACACCTGCCGGCGAGCTCTGTGCTTCAAGGCACTGCAAAATTCTGTAGCTGGCGAGGAATATCCACAGAGCACTGCGGAAATACCAGTGGGTAGACAGGGTGCCTGACCGCATTTGCAGTCACTCTGAGACTGCGATAGTGTCGCTGATGGCTCAAGTGGTGGTGACAAGCTACGAGCATGTGAGATACGTGAATAATGAGCATTCTGTGTTGCGCCGCGTAGAGGCACGGTATGAGAGATTTTTTGAACGAGGAAGAATCGTGTCGGCGGAGGCCTATAGCTCCGGCTCTACCCTACGAAGCTTCCTTGCAACGCGTCTCCTTCAGTGCCGCTCAGAGCCGGCTACCTCAGCTGGCATTACCGACACTGTCCATAGGTGTGCACATTCGACGCCTTGCAAAGAGCTTGAACGCTGATGCGGCCCACCATTTCCAATGGGGTATTGGTGGATGCTGTTTCTGCTCGGCGCAATATGTGCACCCAGGCCTTCATTGCATGTCAGCCCCCACACGGCGTACAGTCCAACGCGGCATGGTCGCGAAGGCTGTACTGCAGGCGCCACCTCAGAAGATCGACGCACGACCGTCGTACTCGCTCTTGACTCACTCTGTAATTGGATTCACTGAGCTTTGCGCTCACTCGCACGGAGTGTAGACAGAAGCCTCACAATCTCTCATTCTCATCATTGTCAGTACACCCATTCGATCGCGTACAACCCTCTGACGGCTGTCACCTAGTTCCAGTGTCGCAGCATCTACCGTCGCAGACTCCAACAAAGCTGACATGACCGATGCTACCAGGCACAACTGTGCCAACTGTGCCAAGAAGATTCATTGAAAGCAACAAGGCGTGCCTGTCTCCCAATTTCTGCTGTGGGTACTGACTGAGAGGACCAAATTGTACTGGAAGACCGCGGAATACTTTGCCTCGGGCCCCCCTAACTCCGTCGCGCACTGCAAGCCGAATTTTGTTATTTTTTGGTGCGGCTTTTCCTGACAAATTTTTGGTTTGCATTGCCGCGAAAATGTGCGGCGCCAACATGCTAGACAGATATCGGCATTTCGGACAGCTGCCACAGCTGACATGGTCGTTGAGGGGGTGCGCGAGTATGCTTGAGCCTCGCCGATCCTCCACCTTACGATTTCGAACCGCGGCCGCCTTTCCAGTCGACACGGCCCTGTGCGATCTGTGTCCGCGGAAGGCGTCCAATCATCGTGGCATCTTCGGCGTCTTTCTGCATTCTTCTTCACGTGCACGTCTATCGCCGACCGCGACATCGCGACATCCTCTTTCCGCCAAGCACGACATGCACCACCGCCCCTACTTACGGCCCGCCGCCTGCTCGCTCTAAGTTTGACATCCGGATGCAGAGGGAAGACGTCATTGTACCGGACTTTAACACTTCTTGCTGTGCGCAAATCTCAAGTGATGTCGATCGGAGTCCACGGGCCACCCTGTGTTCAGAACCTGGTCCACCTCGGATATCAAAACTTTTTCCGTTTACCGGAGTGCATTTGGTGCTCCGTGGATTAGGTTGGACCCTGACAAGTCGCTGGGACCCCATCCGCAGTTCTACCTCGGCGTTTACTGAGCGCAGCGTTGACTTACACTTCAGCAATACTTCGGCCAAGCATGCTTTCGACCCTCCATCACGGGCTCGACCAATTGTAGGCGGCCCTTCCATCGCCACCCTCTTGTCAAGAGTCGATACAGGAACTTCTCCTATCTGACGTCCACGAGGATATAAAATCAGCAGCCTCTCTGCTCGGTATTATCATCCATCCCATTCATCCTCGACATTTTGCCTCACCTAGCCTCTCGATATCAGCGGCCCAATTCGCTGCGCTCTTCCCTGCGTCGTAATTGACTGCCCCTACCTCTTCATACCCTTTCGTCCCAGTGCAAGACCGTCGACCAGACCTCCGCAATGACCTCTGCAGCAGCAACATCGTGGGTTGGCACCCTCCTCAACCAAGCCTCGAGCGGCAAGATCTTTTCACGTCCCGATCAGCGCCCGGACTTTGTGCTTCTTTCGCTGCTCAAGTCGACGCCTCCGTCCTCGGCAACGTCTACTAAGCAGGCTTCTGAAAGTTCGTCGATATACGAGCAACCCGCTCACAAGGACGTAGCGAGAGAAGCGACGATGACACCCGTCCTGGGCACCGACCTCGAGCAAGCCCTTTCGCAAGCACAAGGGACAGACACCCTGGCTCGTGTGGTCAGCCAGGCGCGCCAAGGTACAGAAAAGTCGGCAACATCAGAAGACGGCGAGCATCTCATTGTCGGATGGTACGACGATGCGGATCCAGAGAACCCGCGCAACTGGTCAAGCGGCAAAAAGGCATTCGTCACCTTCCTCATCGGCCTGCTCACCTTTGGGGTCTATTCGGGCTCGGCTATCTACACGCCTTCCATCCCGGGCGTCATGGCCGAGTTCGATGTCGGCCTCACCAAGGCCACGCTAGGACTTTCGCTCTTCGTTTTGGGATATGCTGTCGGCCCAATGTTCTTGTCGCCGTTGAGCGAGGTGCCAGCGATCGGCAGGAACTGGACCTACATCCCGAGCATGATCGTTTTCATCATCTTAAACATCGTCGCATCGGTGGCGCCAAACTACTCGACGCTTATGGCCATGCGCTTCTGGACCGGCTTCTTCGGCTCGCCAGCGCTTGCAACCGGCGGCGCCAGCATCTCTGACATGTACGATGGCGTTGGCGTGGCGTTCCCAATCGCCGTCTGGGCTGTCGGCGCTGTCTGTGGTCCCGTCCTCGGACCGGTTATCGGCGGATTCAGCGCCATGAACCTGGGCTGGCGATGGCCCATGTGGCTGCTCACGATTCTGTCTGGTGCCACGACGATCGTGCTCGCCTTCTTGCTGCCCGAGACATTCGAGGGCTACATCCTCCTGCAGCGCGCACAGCGACTGCGCAAACTCACGGGCAACCAGCAGATCCGCGCGCAAAGCGAGCTGGATCAGCAGGCCACCACCGTCGCATCGCTCACCAAGGAGGCCCTGCTTCGACCGCTTATCATTTCGATCGAGCCGGTCGTCTTTTTTACGTCTCTCTATCTCGGAGTAGCCTACGCCTGTTTCTACCTGTTCTTCGAGTCCTTCCCCATCGTGTTCACCGAGATGCATGGCTTCAATCTCGGCGAGTCTGGCTTGCCTTTCCTCGGCCTCGCCGCGTCGGGAGTGCTGACGCTTCTTGGCTACCTATGGTACCTCGGCAAGTACTTCAACCCGCGTTTCCTCGCCAAGGCCGCCAAGGGCATCATCGTACCTGAAGATCGGCTTTCGATCGCGCTGTTCGCGTCGTTCTTCGTTCCCCTATCGCTGTTCGGCTTCGGTTGGACGAGCCGGGAAGACGTTCACTGGATCGTGCCGATCATCTTCAGTGCCATCCTTCTTCCTGGCGTGTTCCTTCTCTTCCAGAGCATCTTGGTGTACCTGCCAATGTCGTACCCCGAGTATGCTGCGTCGGTGCTGGCAGCCAACGACCTGATCCGATCTACGATTGCCGCTGCCTTCCCGCTATTTGGCCACGCCATGTTCAAGAACCTGGGAGTTGGGGTTGCTTGCAGCGTGCTCGGAGCCATCTTCTGCGTGCTGATCGTGCCGCTCTGGGGCCTGTGGAAGTACGGCCATGTGCTGCGCAAGCACTCCAAGTATGCGCATGTATACTAGAATCTGCAGCCCGATACGTCTCCCTGCAATACCTCCTTGCCGCATGTTCGTCTTTCGCAAGAATAGAGCTGTCTCCGCAGATATGGACGTGTCTGTGCTTCCTCGGCGGATGCTCGCGTCGCGTATTGGTACTAGTTAGGATCTACAACTTGCTGCTTGGAAGGTTGGGTTTGTGACCGGAAGCGAGCCGCGACTTGACGGTGGCTGTGCGACCCCAGGCTCTCCATGCACCTGCAAGGAGGCCGATTGGTGGCATCAGCCACTGCAGGAGCCATCTGAGGCTGCCGAGTCCGCTGTAGCTGTCGACCCACCTGGCGACCATCCTGTCGACCTGAATACGAAGGGCAAGCGGCGTCTGCTTCTGGAGACCCTTTGTCCATTCTGGCGCCTGTAGCTCGTTGTGGTCGTCCAGCCTATCGCCTAGATCTGCCGAGTTGTCAAGGATGGTGTCTGCATATACGAGCTTGTCGTCGAGCGGGAGCTGCGCTTCGAGCCTTTGCTTGGCGTCAGCCTCGGTGAGGCCCTTGGACCGGCCGTCGCGCGCAAGCATGCGGGTGAGTTGATCTTGGCGACGGCAGTAGACGAGCACGAGCTCGCCACAGAACTTCCATAGTCCGGCTTCGACGAGCAGCGGCGTATCGACGACGACGACCTTGTAGCCTCGCACCCAGTAGCCGATGAGCTTCCAGACCATGCGACGACGAATGGCGCCGTGGGTGATCTTGTTGAGCACCTTGGTCTTTTCAGGTGTTGCGAATGCGAGTCTCCCGAGTTCTGCGCGGTTGAGAGTGCCGTCAGATTCGTTGATGACGGTCGCACCAAACGCGGAACGCAGCGCCGCAAGGGCAGGCTGACCGGGCTCCACCACCTCGCGCGCAAGTAGGTCGAGGTCGATGATGGGAATGCCCGCTGGGTGGTTGGAGATGAGGTAGCTGGCGGTGGACTTGCCAGAGGCGATGCCTCCTGTCAGACCGACGACGAGCATGGCGGTGTAGTTGAGTGGGGAGAAGAGGGCGAGATGGTGGGATGAAAGGAAGCCAGAGCGCGTGCTTCGATTCGCACCAAGTGAACGGTGGTCCATGCACGAAAAAAAA